AACTGGTTTGGCTCAGTGGATAGAGCATCAGCCTGCAGACTGAAAGGTCCCAGGTTCAGATTCCAGTCAGGGCATGTACCTTGGTTGCGGGTACATCCCCAGTAGGAGGTGTGCAGGAGGCAGCTGGTCGATGTTTCTCTCTCATCGATGTTTCTAACTCTATCCCCCTCCCTTCCTCTCTGTAAAAAATCAATAAAAATATATTTTAGTAAATAAATAAATTAAATAAATAAATAAATATCTGGGGGTAATGAAAGAGAAAAAAGCCAAGAATATAAATTGATTTGAAAATTAAGTCAACTGTTATAAATAAACGGCTTTTGCATTATTCACATGTTTATAATTTTCTGCAAAGCATTTCACATGGTTTGGTGTTCATTAAACATAAATTAATTTACTCTGAGTATAATAACCCCCGTATTATATTCCAGTACATTATTTAACACTTAACTCTAAACTGAATTCCATATCCCTGATTATCATACCTTTCACAGCATTTTTATACATTTCTTTTCTTTACATTCCTAAGTGGAACTGGTATTTATGGACTCAGAAGTCTTGGCACCATCTCATTTCATTCATTTGTAGAGAACTGGTGCTATTTTCCCTTGACGTTATTTTTTTTCTTTTATTATCCACCTACTCTCACTGGTCAGGACTCTGTAAGAGATGGGTACACAGCGTAGGGAATGGGTAAGGCTGCCTGAAAGGCTTCCTGGGCTACAGATGGCTTATGGAATACTGCGTCGTGCACAGCCAGCTACCTACCCTCGGTGGCAGGTTTTGTTTAGGGGGTGGTTTTTTTAGTTTTTTGTTGTTGTTAATCCTCACCCAAGGATATTTTTTCCATTGACTTTTAGAGAGAGTGAAAAGGAGGAAGAGGGGGAGAGAAAGAGAGAGAGAGAGAGAAACATCAGTGTGAGAGAGACACATCAGTCGGGTTGTCTCCTGCACCTGTGATTGAACCTGCAACCCAATTACATGCCTTTGAGTGGGAATCAAATCCAGGACCCTTCAGTGTGTGGGCTGATGCTCTAACTACTGAGCATACCAGCTAGGACAAGTTTTTAGTTTAGTTTAATCCCCATATTATTCCATATCTCTGATCTGTGATGGTAATGAGGGCCATACTTTAGTGCACCATCCGTCACAGCTTTTCAACTGTGCAATTCATTTAGATTGATATATAATGAGATAGTTTATTAAAATCTTACCAAGGGCGTAGCCTGTGTGGCTCAATGGTTGAGCATTGAGGAGATCACAGTTCGATTCCCTGTCAGGGCACATGCCTGGGTTGTGGGCTCGATCCCCAGTGTGGGGCGTGCAGGAGGCAGCCGATCAATGATTCTCTCTCATCACTGATGTTTCAATCTCTCTCTCCCTCTCCCTTCCTCTCTCTGAAATCAATAAAAATATATTTTTTAAAGAAATGTTATAGAAAATGAATTTTGGAGCTGGAGGGGACCTTGTTTGGAAGCGGAGAAACCAGAGTCCTAACAAATCCAAATCTTCTGAGCCCCTGTCCAGTGGGCTTTTTCCTGATCATTGCTGCTTTTTCTGTTAAAAAATAGAATTACATAGTTTTTTCTTTAAAATATCTACAAAGCCAGATGTTACAGAAGGAACCCTAGCTGCTGTAATGTAGGGACTGCCTTTTGTTTTGAAGTCCCTCACTCTTTCTTTGCTGCTCTCATACAGGTGGATAGCTTATGAAGGATCCAATTTCCTAGGAAGACAAATCCTACTCGAACCCAATGAGATTCAAAATTGGACGGCATTCAGCGGGTGGAAAACCATTGGTTCCCTCCGTCCTATGAAGCAGGTAAGGAGAAAAGAACCACGCCATCCAAAATAGCTCCATTTTCTAGTAGAAGTGGCACAAACCACAACAGCATCTGAAATATTGACTATTTCACTTAGGTTGCCATTTATGTAGCAGGGCGAGTGGCTTAGGGAATACTGTAGATTTTAACCAGTTCATAAAATTCTGTCTACGGTCAATGTTGGATTGTAGCTTTCAGTCCAAAGTCTTAGTGACCATGTTCCCGTTTCACAGAAAATGAAGGAATTATAAGCGCTGCAGCAGGCAAATGGAACGAGAATGAACTCTGAGACGGCACTCGTTTTACTCTCGAAGTATTTGGACTTTCCCCCACTTACAGAATACCCGGATGGGTCCTGGCAATTTACTCCAAGTCGCATCTACTGCACTGGTGCTTGTCAGTCTTCTGCACTGAGAGTGACCCACCCTTCCCTGTGGCCTGAGGGCCTAGCTCCGCTGCCCCTCCCGTCTCCCGGCTCACGGTCTCCTCCCTCTCACGGTGTGCCCCACGCTCCAGCATCCGGCTGTCCCACTCAGCTCCAGGCACAGGTTGCCTCTCTCAGGTTCTCCTTCATTGGTTGCCTGGCTGCCCCTTACGCATCTCTCTAAAGTCAGCTTGCCTGCCAGGTCCTCAGATGCCTCTGTCTCCCTCTCTCCCAACCGAAGCCGGATCCTAAAGACCTGCTTCTCCTCCAAGCCCCTGCATGTGGTTTGTAATCGTGTAGTTATGGTTGGAGGGGTGCTCTCACTCTGTTGCAGCCTGTGGAGGCTTTTTGCGCTGCCCCAGTGCCTGTCACAGTGTAGGAGCTCAGGGACTTATTTAACAAAGGAATGAAGGTGAAAATGGATGAATGAATGTTTGACACTATGTAAAGAATTGTGGAGGATGAAGGATAGACATGACTTCTGCCTATATAGAGCACATTTTACCCTTCATTTTGAGGGGTAAAATATCCAGCTCAAAATCTATAATAATAGAAGGATAATATGCTAATTAGACCAGACATCCTTCCTGACAAAGCCGGAGCCGGAGGGGCGCCAGCCGGGGAAAGGAAGGCCTACTCTTGCACAAATTTTCATGCATCGGGCCTCTAGTCCTATATAACAAAAGGCTAATATGCAAATTGTCCCCTTGACCAGAAGTTCAACCAGGGGGCGGGGCCGGCCAGCCAACCACCCACAGCCCCTACCCCCTGCCAGCCTGGTCCAATCAGCCATGATCAGGGTGGACTGGCAGGACCCCACCCATGCACAGATTCGTGCACCAGGCCTCTAGGAATAACATAAAATGCAAAACTGTGTGATCATCCAGAAGCCACAGGCAGTGCTGGTGCAGAGAAGGGCAGTGTGGACATGTGTGGGAGTGTGGCAGGTTTCAGGAGCGTGGGGAACCACAGGCTGTTGGGTCAGATGGTCAACAGGTATGCCATCTGTCCTCTTCTCCAGCCCCTTAGAGGCTTTTCTTACCTGATTCCAACATCAGTTCTTTAAGGCGGGAGTTTTTTTCCCATTTTCTAGATGGAAAAATAAGGCCCAGGGAGATAAAGCAAATTGGCAAGAAGCATTCAAGTGTCAGAAGCAGGATTCGAACCAAATGGATTGTGCTCTAAAATCTATGTTCTTAGACATCCACACTCTACTCTCCTTCAAAATGAGATCCATGTTTACAGAGCGTCACCCTATGTTCCAGGCACTGAGCTCAGCGGAACAGTTGACATAAGTGCTGAGGCTCTGAGGTTCAGGTCTGACACACTGTTAAGTAGCTGATGGCAAGTAAAAACCTGGCCTAATTGGCTGCCCGACCAGCGTGGCTCAGTGGTTGAGCATTGACCTATGAAGCAGGAGTTCACATTTTAATTCCCAGTCAAGGCACATGCCCAGGTTGCACGCTCGATACCCAGTAGGGGTTGTGCAGTAGGCAATCAATGATTCTCTCATCATTGACATTTTTATCTCTCACTCCCTCTCTCTTCGTCCCTAAAATCAACAAAATATATATATTTTTATTTTATTTTATTTTATTTTTTAAACTGACCTAACACATGCACATGCACACACCTTCATTCCCACCACTCTGGTTCCGTTGGTTCAGATCATAGCCCTGTCACCTGTAAGCAATGTGACTTTGAGCTGGAATGTCACCTCATCTTTTAGCAGCTAGGACTCCTCACTGGTGAGACGGTGACCACAGTCCTTACTTCTCACCAACGTTGTGAGGATTAAATAAGATACATGAAGAACTTGACACAACTCCTGGCTTGTATTGCTATAGTAACACATTTATCTTGCAAGTACCATTCACATGGCCCTGGAGAGAATCAGAGATGCTCTTCTGAGAGATCCCGGACACCAGTGGGCTCTCCTGGCAGAGTATGTGGTACAGGGTTTCATGACCTTCACATGCTTATTCTTCCCTCCTGGTCCATGGGACGATGGGTAATCGCATGGGAAAAAGCAAGGCAGAAGTGGGACTTCCGTGTAGTTTTTACCAACCATTCAATAATATTTAATTCTGTGCTGTTAGAAACTCAAGAATATTTCCCTCGCTTCTGAAAGGTGATTCCTTGCTGGGGAAGGAGTCCCTGACCATTGCTCAGGGCCCTGAGAATTAAAGAGAACTGGAACAACGGCCTCTCGCTTTACAGAGAAGCTTTTTGGCCGTTAACATTGTTATTCTTGTATTGTGCTTTAGGAAATACCTGATTCCTATTCTGGTTAAGCATTTAATATCAAAATAATATTTTAACAGGGATTGTTTTTCCTGTTGTCCATTTAGGCCACAGCTTTAAAACCCAGCCAAGGAATTCTGGTTCTAAAACAGTACTGTAGGCCTTACTGTCCTTTTGGTAAGGCTGTTAGTACTGCTTTAATTCATATTCTTGCCTGGAAAGTTAGGAATAATTACAATGTGATTCTCTTTGAGGTTGGGAATTGGGAAGTCACTGAAGCACTTACAATGCGCATCAGTGTTTTACAGGCTAATTACAGAGGAGTCAGTACAAGTATGCAATAAGGGTAATTAGTGCCTTGCTTGAGTTAATTGATTAAATCTGTGATGTTGGTTCCTAACATAATTGAAACTCTGTCCTCTGTGAAGGTCATGCCTGATTTCTTACATGTACAAGGTAAGGAAACTGTAATAAAGATATAATGAAGCCTCAAGAATTAATAATTGGCCCTAGCCGGTTTGGCTCAGTGGGAAGAGTGTCGGCCTGCGGACTAAGGGGTCCCGGGTTCAATTCCGGTTAAGGGCACGTACCTCGGTTGCATGCTTCCGGCCCTGGTTGGTGGCATGCGGGAGGCAACCAATTGATGTGTCTCTCTCACATCAATGTTTCTCTCTCTCTGTTTCTCCCTCTCCCTTCCACTCTCTCTAAAAGTCAATGGCGAAAATATGCTCAGGTGAGGATTAAAAAATATAATAAGTAAATAAATAAAATGGTAAAATTATTTAAAAAAAAAAAAAGAATGAAGCACATCTGGCAATGATTTGTACAAATTCCCAACAACGGATTTCTTCAGGGATCCTTATGCATTGATTGTGCTGGCTCCACCCCAAG